AAGGAGCAGGCGCGGGACAATCTTGCGGTAGGCCCACTTCTGGGAAGATGTGCTATCCTCCCGCAACTCGACCCTAACCCTCGAAACCCTAAGCACCTAAACCTACCCCAAGGCTCCAAAGTAGCTCCTTTTTGGGGTTCATATATAGAATCCTATAAGGTAATCCCAAAAAGGAACTACTATGGAGCCTCTGGGTAAACCCTGTATCCCCCCAAAACTTGACACCCGCGCCCAAGCGTTTTATTTGCGCTTCACTCGGGTTCCTGTGCGATACGCGCTTCCTCATATGTCGTGATGGCCATGGTTTAGGATTTAGGGAAATCCTAAAGTCCTACTTAAAGGCTCATGGGACTTAGTAAGCAAGGTTATAAGTAGGTTATAAGCAGGATAACCCCACTTAGGGACTTAAGACCCCAATTATAACCTACTTATGATCCTCTAAGTAGACCCCAAGCCCTAAACCCTATCGGTCCCTTTAAGGAACCCTCTAGATCCCTATAAGGACCCCCTAAAAGAACCCTATAGATCCCTATGTAGGACTTCTCTAGGTACTCCCTAAACCCTATAGACCCCTTTAGGAACCCTAAACATCCCTTTAAGGAGCCTTACTTACTAAGTCCCATGATCCTCTAAACGCCTCGCAGGATGGGATACTGCTCCTCACGATCCCGCGCGGGCCGCCATACCTCGACCGGCAAGAGCCGGACACGTTGACGCAGCGAGTTCCGGGCTTCCTTAAGTGGGTTCCTTTAAGGAATCTATAAGGACTCCCGCAAGGAAGCCACAAGGGTTCCTTTAAGGGTTCCGCTGGGGGATTCTTTAAGCGGTCCTGTAAGGGATCCTTTAAGAGAGTTCCTTTAAGGGGTCCCTCAAGCTATGTACAAGGGTTCTGTAAGGGTTCCTTTGCGGAGTCCGTTCAGGAATCCATAAGTGTTGTAGAAGGTTTTTATACCGGCTCCTTTCAGGAAACTCTTACGGCTTCTATAGGGGTTTAGTGTAACAGAAACGGTCCGAACAAGTGAAAAGAATAATTACCATCGCAAATTTTTGCCCTTTTGTCAAGATACTGTAATATACACCTCAGAACTCTTATCTGATGTTTAACGGTTTGGATTTTAGAGTTTAGGGATTTGGGGTCATTGTTGCGGGGCCTTGGGCAGGCTGAACCCTAAACCCATAGTCGATAGACCCTCAAGCCTGAATCCTTAGCCTCTTACTAATTAGGGTTTAGGGCAAACGGTTTGGGGTTTTAGGTACGGGGTTTTGGCTTGGGTGTTGGGTAAAGGATTTAGGGTTTAGGATAGGGGTCATAGTATTTAGAGTAGGGTTCCTTTAGAGGGGTCTAAAAGGGTTGCTATGAGGGATCTATAAGGGTACCATAATATAGGGGCCTAGATACTTGCCTGCATCACGTTGGGGGTTCCTTATTATAAGTATAAAGGGAACTCCAGAAAGTTGGAATATGGTTTCAGGGTAGGATACCTGATAATTTACCATAAAGGGTTTAGGATAGCCATATTCCAACTTTCTGGCTTTTACTGTAGTATAATGGGCCCCAAAACCCTATTCCAATTTCTAAGGCCCCTATATTTAGCCCTTGAAGCCAACCACCAAAAGCCTTGAAAGCCCTTCCGATTCAATCCTGCAGGAACTGTGTTCCATGAAATTCAATGATGCACTTCTCAAGCCTCGATTCTAAAGCTTCATTAGAACACAATAAGTCAACTACCATGAAATCCGAAACCTTAAACCAATAAACCCTAAACCTCAAATCCCCAGTGCCTAAGCACTTGACATCCGAGAACAGCAAGGATGGCAGATGGCTGAACTTCATGGCGCCCGAGGAGGTGATTGCCACAGTCAACTCTGTCACCGACTTGGCTCTTGTTCATCTTGACCCCTCAGCTGTTTCAGCTTCATTTTTCCCTGCCAAAACCGACCGGGTCCCTAAAATACCACACAAATATTCAGAACTTACACTACAATCATGCCACGGCTACTGTCTTCTGAAAAACCAAGGAAGAAGATTTCAAAATCTACAGCGGCAAGTGGATCCTTGGTATTGCCAAGAAGAGATGATGGTCCGCTGGTCTGTGATCTCATGCGGTTTCCCAGCCCGCTCGTCACGAACAACATTCTCCAATTCGACCGTGGCTAGTAAAGTGCATTGTCCGTCCGGCAGTGCAAGCATCCATTGTACAGTTGCATGCGAAAGTTTTGGCTGCATCCTTGTAACCTCACAGCCGAATTCGGGTTGTGGAGCAGTTTGGGTTGCAGGCTGGCATTGAACAGCCACTTGCCGGATGAAGCTCTGCAATCGTCGCAGTGGGCATGATAGTGTAGGAACCTGATTAAGAAACCTTGGGCCTTTCTTAGGGTTCCTTATATGAATCCCACTCGTTTGGGGTTATAGGGCTAGGGTTTCTTAATCAGGTTCCTACATTATATACCCCTTATAGAGCCCTTTAAGGAATCCCTATAGATCCCTTTAAGGGACATTACCCAGAAGCACGAACAAACAACCTTCACAGCCGCCCCAACCGGAGACCGCTCCGGCCATTCTCTGGGTTTGGGGCCCGGTTTAGGGTTCAGGGTTTGGGGTTTAAAAGGGTTTAGGGGTTTAGGGGTTTAGGGGTTTCGGGTAGGGTTTAGAAGACCCAAAACTCAATGAGCGACTTCTCATCAGGCCTGCTGCAATTTTGGAGACGCCGTAGCATCTCAGATGAGCTTCGGATGAAGACCTCAAGTCAGGGCCGGCGCATGTATCAGGGTTTAGGAGTCTAAGGGTTTAGGGTGATTTATATGGCTTTTAGGGTCCAAGGTTTTCCTTGCGGGTTCCGGGATATCGAGATTGCGATCTGGCTTTCGGCGAAAGGTTTTAGGCATCATGTGGGTAGTTCTCAAAATTAGTGTCCCGTGTTGGGTCCCCCGAGCAGGACCTCATAAACAGGACCTTAAACGGCACACGAATTTAGAGAACTACCCATGTGGTTGTGGATCCAGGTCAGACATCGACCTTTGTGTGTTTTTGGACGACTGCAAACCCTACTTAAAGGATCATGGGACTTAGTAAGTAAGGTTATAAGTACCCTAAGTGGGGATATAACTAGTTGTAAGTACAGTTACCGTATTTATAACCCTAGTTACTAAGTCCCATGATCCTTCAAGTAGACCCTAAACCCTAAACCCTGTAGATCCCATTAAGGAACCCTCTAGATCCCTTTAAGGATCCCTTCAAGAAACCCTAGTTACTAAGTCCCATGATCCTTTAAGTAGCAGCTAAGCCGTGAGCCCGAGCTTTTCGGCTCTCGGCCTTTCGATAGTTTAGGGTTTAGGACCTAGGGTTTAAGGATTTAGGGGTTTAGGGTTTAGGGATTTAGGGGTTAGGGATTTAGGGGTTTAGGGTTTAGGGTTTAGGGTTTTAGGGTTTAGGGATTTTGGGGTTTAGGGTTTAGGGATTTAGGGGTTTAGGGTTTAGGGTGCTGTCCGAAACGCGATCTTCGTTTCGTGTTAATACCATCGAGAAGCATCCCGGACTGAGCCTCTTCGGCTACTGTATCACGTCAGAAGCTTGTTGCTAGTAGCATGCTGCTTGCAATTGCCGGTGTGAAAATCATGGCGGGTACTATAAATGGATGGTTGTCAAGATTATGGTCCGGTAGTACGGCACCTATTATTCAGGGCACCCAAAAGGGCACCTTAATTTTGACAACTACCCAAATTCTAAACACCCCAATTCCACTCACCGAGAGCAGCTGAGAAGGTTGGCGCCGGACCAGCCACAAATGCCCCAGTTCCACCCACGGAGTAGATAGATTAGTGCCAACTAGCCGTAAATGAAAGGTGCATTTGGCTGTAACTATCCCAATTTGACTCACGGAGAGCATCTGAGATTGAATGGCGCCGACTAGCCATCAAAGAGTTGCATGAGGGGTGCGTTTTGGCTGTACCTGCAAGGACCTCGCGAAGGGACCGCGAAACCTTGCTAGTGCTTGACCGAGAGTGCTCGCACAGTGTGGCTGCGGCTCGAAGCACGGATCGTCGAAAAGATACTGACCCAAAACCCCAAGCCCTAAAACTTCATCAAACCCTATGCCCCTCAACCTTAAACCGCTACACCCTGAAACCCTTATCTCCAACTCTCATTGACAGGCTTTGGAGGGATTCCGTTTACTAAGAACATTGCTGACATAAAGGCCGCATGGAGTAAAAAACTTTAGACCTTGGTTTGTTTGCTCCACACAGCACTTCCGCCATATATGGGAGTTTCCGAAATAGGGGACCCTAATATAGTACCCCAAATAGCAGGATCCTTCTTATAAGGACCCTTAAATAAGGTACCCCCAATTTCCGAAACTCCAGGTCCATATAGTGTAAGAGATTTGTAGTGCCTGGTTGCGTTACTTTCGTTGAGCTTCTCGCAGAAGCTGGGCTTGGAGGGGAAGCGTCTCAGGCTTTGCCAAGTTTGTGAGTGCTTTGATAAAGGGGCCTGAGTAGTACCAAAAGTGTTTTGGGAATCCTTCTTATAACTACATCTTTACCCTTAGACCTTGTTCTGATCATCATTACATGTAGTAGGTTGATGTGTGTGAGACAGACAGGCCTGCACCAGCATTTTCCTCGGGGCCATGGCATCCACATGCGCAGTTGCTTGCAGAGAACTTACTATCCACGGCTTATGTATGCCGATGCCTAACCCCATCCAATCCTCGTGTCGTCGGCATCAAGTTGCCACTCATAGCAGGGTGTCTGAGCGAGTACGCAGATAACTACCATTACGACTACGCGGTGCGTGCCCACATAGCTGTTGCGGTTGCGACTGTTGTTACTAGTGGCATTTCGATTATAACTACCTACGATGTTGTTAGAACTATTACTGTCGTGGTCTCGTTTGCTGCTTGTCAGAAGCAAGCCGTGGGTCGCTTGCTCGGACGTGGGATGCACCTGGTTTCTACCGCTCAAGCTCTTTACCTCCCGTTCCCGCAGTGTGTCCTCCCAACATGGGAGCCGCAGCGTTTCATGGGGACCAGGACTGTTGTGCCAGTCAGGCTGGAGATGATACAGACCCAGCAGCGTCTCGCAGAACGGTTCCTTCATTGATTGGCCTTGCAGATGCGGACGAGCCCATGTGCACGTTCGATTGCGATGCCGACGTCGTGGACGGGGAGCCAATGAACGAGAATCCGGACAGCTTTGGGGGAGAGCTGCATGGGGCCCGGATTGCCACAGAATCTCTGATGGTCCGGCGGGAGCCTCGAAGACTTCATAGCCGACTAGAGCAAAATGCCCAACTTGCCCTTGACGACGAGATCGTCCGTGCTGTCCCGTTGGCAGACACATTGCGTGCGCTTGGATATCTCTGGCGACTACAACCGAATAAGATGAGCCAGGACCAGCTATTGCAGCTATATCAGTATTCCAAGAAAGCAAGCTCATTCGATGCCTTCGTGTCTCACACCTGGTGGACACCTGGATATCAGAAGTTTGTTTCTTTATTACTCCGCTTCTACTGGCACTATGCCGTAGTTGCTGCGATTGCGACGAGCGTGGTGATCATGATTATGTATAGGCTGGACATTTTGCCAATGCCTTTGAGATTTGCATCACAGTACACATTGTTCCTCAGAGTCATTCCCTGTGGGCCGTGGGGGACTCTGTTCGCGTTCGTGGTCTCGCTACTTGCATTACTTTGTGCTCCTTTCCTGCCCTGTACGAGCTTCGATATTTTCTACGATGTTGCATGCATTCACCAAACGGATCCGGTGATGCGCGAACGAGGTATCTATGGCA